CCCATCCCTGCAGGCACCGGCTGCAACGCCTGCTACATGGAGGAGATGCAGAATGTGGAGCTGGTAGAAGGAGATGAGGGACGCATGTGTGTCAACACGGAGTGGGGCGCCTTCGGGGACTCAGGCGAGCTGGATGAGTTCCTGCTGGAGTACGACCGAATGGTGGACGAAAGCTCAGCGAACCCCGGTCAGCAACTGTAAGGATGCCCTGCCCTCCTAGTCCACCCCTGGGGCTGCTCCTGCCTGGCACACCACAGCTGGGTCACAGCGCATAACAGCTGGTTCATAAGAGCTCTGAGGAGAAGCACACGGTCGGTCCCTCTGTGAGCTGGCTCTTTTCTTCAGCTCCGTCACAGTCTGCTCCTGTGAGGTGTGGAGGTGTCATGGTGGTTTAGAGGAAGTCCCACCTCTCTACCCTGATAGGGAGCCTCCCACCAGAGGCAGCTCTGAAAGACCTGCGAGGTTTATCTGGTTTAAACCAGGATCCCCCCGAAGTACATACGTATGCCAGTCCCACAAAATGAACATTAGCATTTGGAGGGATGTTGTACGTTGGCAGAACACATCTTGGGAACCAGCTGCACAGAGCTTGTCTTGAATCATGTCTATTGCCTCGTGATGTGGTGCACTCCTTTGATCTCAGCACTTGGGAGGCAGAGGCAGACAGATCTCTTTGTGTTCCAGGCCAGCCTGGGCTACATAGCAAGTTCCAGGGTAGCCATGGCTACATAGTGAGATCTAGTCTCAAAAGAAAGTAAATAAATAAATAAATGAATGAATAAGATGAGTTGTGCCTATTACAGGCTAGCCACCTGCATGGTACCATTCTCACGTTAACTACTTAATGAGTTTCATCTCAGACCTTCACAGGCCTCTGTTAGGTCGTTAATATCTGTTGGATTTCAAGATGAAATAGGGCCCACAGATTAGGCAAAAATATGCCAGGCTGCCATGTGCCCTGCCTGGCACCAATCCTGTGAGCCAATGAGAATAACATCCTGTGGAAGGACTAAGGTCCCAGGCTGTGTGCTCACGAAAGGCCTGCCACCAGTAAGATTTCAAAGGACCACAGAGGCTCCTCAACTCTGTGCCCCTCTCACATGCCAGGCCAGCAGCAGGGTTAAAAATGTGCATGTTCCTAGGACCTCTGAAGCCTCTGTTTACAAATGTGGGAGGCAGGGCACAGGGCAAGGACCTTGGATAATGGCTTGGGTGTGGGAATGAGAAAGGAATCACAGTGCCCCGTGTGGTCACCACTTAACCGGAATGGGACCTGTGGGGATTTCCCGAGGACCAGCTGGCATAACCGACTGTTCTGTACCTAGGTACGAAAAGCTCATTGGTGGGAAGTACATGGGCGAGCTGGTACGACTTGTGTTGCTCAAGCTGGTGGATGAGAATCTTCTGTTCCACGGAGAAGCCTCGGAGCAGCTGCGCACACGTGGCGCCTTCGAGACCCGTTTTGTGTCGCAGGTGGAGAGGTGCCTGGAGGGGGCAGGACCAGGGGCGGGGTCTGGGAGGAGGAGGAGGAATGGGGTGGGGACAGAGGTGGCCTCAGGGACACAGAGAAATGGACCAGGGTTCTAGGGGCAGCAGAGTATTAGGTCAGGGGCACAGGGAGACTGGAGCCAGGCACAGCCTGGAGACTGTGGCATGGTCACCCTCACTATAGAGAGAATCCAGGGCTGCTGGGTCCGGCTGGTCATCACCATTCCTCCGGGACCTTCAGTGACTTCCCTCCCCCATCCTGCCCACAGCGACTCAGGCGACCGCAAGCAGATCCACAACATCCTGAGCACTCTGGGGCTTCGGCCCTCGGTCACCGACTGCGACATTGTGCGCCGTGCCTGTGAGAGCGTGTCCACGCGCGCCGCCCACATGTGCTCAGCCGGACTCGCGGGGGTCATAAATCGCATGCGCGAAAGCCGTAGTGAAGACGTGATGCGCATCACGGTGGGCGTGGATGGCTCCGTATACAAGCTGCACCCTAGGTCAGTTTCCACCTTAGCTGCCGGGTCCAGTCTCTCCCTACTAAAGGGAGGCCCAAAGGGCGCGGCTCTCAGGTCCAGGCATTTGTGAGCCTTCCCACCAGGCCCCCCTTAGGCCTGGATGCCGAGGATGCTACAGTCGGGGAGCCTACGGTAAACGGATGGGTGGCAAGGGTGAGGTGGTCTAAAGGGTGGGAGGAGAAGTGACAGCCCTATTTTTCTCTTGCTCAGCTTCAAGGAGCGGTTCCACGCCAGTGTGCGCAGGCTGACACCCAACTGCGAAATCACCTTCATCGAATCGGAGGAGGGCAGTGGCAGGGGAGCAGCGCTGGTCTCTGCGGTGGCCTGCAAGAAGGCCTGCATGCTGGGCCAGTGAAATCCAGGCCACAAGGACAGGAACCTGGGCTCCATGGGGACTCTACACCCTACAGATGCTCCCAGCCCACCAGGGCAGGAGATCTATTCTGCTGCTACCCCTGGAAAATGGGGAGAGGCCCCTGCAAGCCGAGCAGGCCTTTCTGCAGAGTCAGTCATGTGGGACAGCCCTAGGACTCTCAACCTGGGCCAGGGGGCTGGGAAGAGGAAGAGGATCAGAGGCACCAAAGCCTTTCTTGTTACAATCAACTACAGAGAAAGGCGTTGCACACTCAGGACTTGCATTTTCACACTTCTTGCCTCTCACAGCTGTGGGCGTGGCCTCCCTGATCTCCCAAGGGGAGTGCCTGTGGACCTTGCAATGGTCTGGCTTCCCTGAGAACATACCCTGCGTGGGGAGGTAGCTCCAGCAGCTTGGTCAGACCAGACCTGGGCTCCCCGGAGAGCAAGGGCTGCTGCTCACCCAAGCCTGGCTGTTTTCTTGCCTGTGACCCAAGAGGCTGGGGAGCTATGGGAAACTGACTGTCCAGCTGCATGGAGGGGACTTTGCAGGCCACAAACACCCCAAAGAGACTGCTTCCTACATATACCTCTACCCCTGAGTGACTTATGGTTCTGGGATGAACCCTCCCAGGAGATGCCAGAGGATAGAGCTCCGGAGTTCCTGTCCTAAGGGGACCAGCAAGGGGAAGCCTCACTCTGCACTATCAGGATCCTCCTCCTTCGAGCAGGATGGCGTCTTCAACTCTCGAATCCCTGACCCGGGAGGAAAAGCAAGCCACCCTCAGTATCCCTCCAAGAGACCACCCAGGCAGGCCCCTCTCCCCCTCACCCTCCCCAAATACCATGCCACCCTCTCCATACCAACCTGGGACTGTGGGGGAGTTTTTAATTAAATATTTTAAAATACTTAAACATGGCCTGTCATTGTTCTTTGACCTCTGTGCATAAGGTCATACAAAGAAACGTCACTGGTATACATACACAGGTAGTCCCTAAACTTGGTTGTGTCTCGGAATGTGCTGTACCTTCCAGACACTATGCCCAGGGGAGTGTGAGAGGTAGGCTGTAGGAATGGGAATGAGGTGACATGGGGACACTCCAGGCACTGAATAGCCCTCTGCTGGGCCCGGACCCCTGGTTGCCCCTGCAACATGTGGAAGACAGAGAGCAGGAAGGCCAGGCCTGATGCTGCTCTGGTCGGGGTTGGGGGGGCGGGGCGGGCGCTGATTCAGCTGTAGGTTTGTCTCAGCGGCCTTCTGTCTCCTCAGAACCATGGAGGAAGCAACAGTGAGTAAGAGCCAGGGCTGTGTGGTGTCACACAGTTTCTAAGGTCCCTCCAGAGGAGAACTCTGGTAGGTGACATCGCTGCAGGGCTTAGTGCCTTTTCTGTGCAGCATAAGCACACCTGCAGGCAAACACAGACTTGCGCGATTTTAATGCACATTTATTTCTTTCTCAATGGAACTACCCAGCAGGTCAAAGGCAACTGTTCTCTGTTTCATTCAGAAAACAAACAAATTTAGAACCACTAGATGGGACCTGTGAGCCACTTTTCATGGGAACCCCAGGAGGCACTGTGCTCCAAAACTTTCCTGCAAGACAGCATCACACAGGCCCGCCATGTGCCAGGTCCTGTGGATTCCAGATGTGTGTTCAGGAGTAGGCTGCAGCTCTCCGTTGGGAATGTCAGAGAGAGTTTTCTGAGGGGTTAGAGCATGGAGTTGAAATGGAGCTTATGAACAGCAAGGCTCCCAACAGGGTGGGTCCTAGTGTGTCAGCAGAGCAGGTGCGGCAGCACAGGTCTGAATGTGAGGAGAGCAGCCGAGGACCTGCCACCTCACTCCCGAGTTACCCCAAACCAAGCACCTGGTTCTGTGGGGCTCACAGCCTGCTCAGAACTGCTGTCTGTCTGTCTGTCTGTCTGTCTGTTATCAGCGGGGCAGCGGCCAGAGCTCAGGCTTTTCATCCAACCCCAGAGGATTCAGGCCAGAGACCATCCTCGGAAACATGCACTGCTTCCTAGGTCCAAAGAGTAAGGATGATGGCGTTAGCCAAGGTCCAGCCTGGACTTGCAGGAGGGATGGTAGACGAGGGGTCACAGGGACCCTACAACATGATCAGGAACGGTAAAAGTTTTGATCCTCTCTGCCCAGGAAAGGCATGGAACCTGGCCACAAGAGCTGATGGATCCTAGGATGTTACACTTGGGAGCTTGAGGTCACCAGGAGTGTAAACGGGATCTGCTCGGGGGGCCTTGTCTTCCTCTCCCAGTGGGGGCTTCCAAGTTTAGCCCCGTCATCCATTCCTCTCCTTATTTGGGCCTCTGGGTGTGATAAGGCTGAGACATAAAGAGCCTGTGACAAGATCACACAGCCAGACCACTACAGATCATGGTGAGTGCTGGGCAGGGGACAGGAGACGAGTCACACCCAGGTGCCAGTCTCTGCTCTGCAGAAGGGCAGAGCCAAGGACTTCTGTGCCCATGCTGGGCTCAGGGAAGTGATCTCTAGGGGTGGAGAAAAGTCCCTCACCCTGGCGCTCCTGGTTGTGCCCTGAGGCTGTGAGTAGTTGGGGAGGGGGGACTTTGGAGAACTGGAGAGGGGACCCCTCTCACCATCAGTATTACAGGCCAGCAGGAAGGCTGGGACCCGGGGCAAGGCTGCAGCCACCAAGCAGGCTCAACGTGGCTCTTCCAACGTCTTCTCAATGTTCGAACAAGCCCAGATTCAGGAATTCAAGGAAGTGAGTACCACGTATCTCCAGCAGCCTCTCACCCAGGGGCATCCACTCCACACCCCTTCCACACCTCTCTTCTCGGGGTGTGGGGGGGTTAGGGGTCCTCCCTCCAATCTTCTCCCTCACCTCCTGCCTCCCCTGGAAGAGAGGGGGTAGTAGCTCCCACCTGAAGGCTCTCCTCACAGGCCTTCAGCTGCATTGACCAGAATCGAGATGGCATCATCTGCAAGTCAGACCTGAAGGAGACCTATTCCCAGCTCGGTGAGTGGATCCACGGGCCCACCTCCCAGGGGCTGATCTCATTCTCCTCAGCAGCCTGCTCAGAGAGAGGACCGTGCCCTGCCTTTTATCTCATACATCGCCTCTTTACATGTCCCTCAGTCCAGTCACACATCCCCATCCCCCAGCAGCCCCACAGCTGGAGCTGCCCAGGAAAGCAGGCAGGGCAGCCTGGGTCACCTCATGTCCTACCCTCCTAGGGCGGGTAAGCGTCCCAGAGGAGGAACTGGACGCCATGCTGCAGGAAGGGAAGGGCCCCATCAACTTCACGGTCTTCCTCACACTCTTTGGGGAGAAACTCAATGGTGAGTCTGTATCCTGTCAGCCTCCTTAGCCATTAAGCAAACCTGACCCCCTGGGCCCCATGTAAGGTTCACCTGAACTCACTGAGATGTGGACCCTGCCTGGCCATGGTCGACCCAGAGGATGTGGAGCATCCTGGGCTGACTTGGACTCAGAAAAACATCCACTTCCAAATCCCAATTCTAATTTCCCAGCCAGGCCAGCCAACCCTTTTGATTCCTCGAGAAACATTCTGTGGGGTCAACCCCCGCCCCCCCCACCTCTCCCGTACCCCCTCATCTACCCTACCTTATCTTAAATCATTTGATGCAGCCTTAGCCCTTCAGCCCCACATGCTCACTGTCCCCTCCATCAACGTCCTCCAGGAAAGATCCCAGCTCCCTGTAAGTTCTCCCTGGGTGGGGCCTAGAGGCCGGGAATGTGACAGTTCACCTGGCTGCCTCCGCCCCCAGGGACGGACCCTGAGGAAGCCATCCTGAGCGCTTTCCGAATGTTTGACCCCAGCGGCCAGGGGGTGGTGAACAAGGACGAGTGAGTGAGGTTCTTCCATCCCCTGGGGCAGGCACCACAGGGGAACCAAGAGGGTGGCGAGGTGGGTCCTCCAGGTGTCTCCGGCCTTCACTATACTCTGGCAGGTGACCAGTCCTTCCCTGGGCCCCCGCCATTCTTTCTCTCAGCTCAAGCCTTCTCTCTCCTCAGGTTCAAGCAGCTTCTCCTGACCCAGGCAGACAAGTTCTCTCCTGCTGAGGTGAGACCGGCTGGCCCTGTCAACACCTGTCCCTGGCATTGCCACTCTAGCCCTGGGAAGGCCTCATGATCCGCCGCCCGCAGGGCTCAGAACCCAGATCCTAGGCGGTGCAAGCTGAAAGGGTAACAGGATCTTCCCAGAAGAGCTCCCATTTCTATTAAGACCCAGAGGGGAGAAGGCAGACTCAGAAGAGGGTGGGGTTGTCTTTGTGGTCAGGTGAGCCTTTGGCCCCGCCCCCATTCGGGCCCACTTCCTAGTCTGTCCACCAACAGACAAAACCATCCGACTGCACTTGGGGTTGGAAGGCTGAGTCCTCCTGCACAGCTCTTGGGACAGGGGTGGCATCACAGGCCACACTCTGTGGGGTGCCTCCTGCAGGTGGAGCAGCTGTTTGCCCTGACACCCATGGACCTGGCAGGCAACATCGACTACAAGTCCCTCTGCTACATCATCACCCATGGCGATGAGAAAGAGGAGTAGAGCCGGGCGGTGGTGGCGCACGCCTTTAATCCCAGCACTCGGGAGGCAGAGGCAGGCAGATCTCTGTGAGTTCGAGGCCAGCCTGGTCTACAGAGTGAGTTCCAGGAAAAGGCGCAAAGCTACACAGAGAAACCCTGTCTCGAAAAATCCAAAAAAAAAAAAAAAAAGAGGAATAGAGGCAAGCTGGAGTCACCTCAATAAATTCTGTGGCTGAACTAGAACAGAGGCGTTGGCTTGACTATGACGTACAGGATGGGGATGGACCAGGCAGGGGACAGGGGATCCCATGAGGTCCTACCTTTGTTCACACTACCAAGTGAAATATGAACCATTGCTTTGCCCACTGCTGAACTCCAAGAGAGGAAATGGGATGCATACAACCTCCATGAGGCCCAGGAATGAGCCACAAGTGGGCAGCCCAGCTCTTGAGGTCTGGGTCAAGAAGAAATCTCTTGTTGGACACTCAGCAGACTTTCTGCCCAACAGCTCAGCTAACGGGTGCAGCCCCAGGGACCTACCTTCAATCACATAGCCTCCCTGCTCTACACACAGGCCCATTGCCCATTCTCTCTTGATATGCTTGCTGACTATGTGGGCCCTGTGGGAAAAGCACAGAGGAACCTATTTAAAAACACAGTCAGAACCAGAGGGATGGCTCGGTGCTGGATGCCTTGCCTAGCATGTTGCATGCCCTATATTCCGTTCCCAGTAAGCACCCCTCCCCTAGGAAGAGAGAGGGAGGGAAAAGTGGGGGAGAGAAGGGGGAGGGGTATCACAATCATACTGGAGTACAGGAAGACAGGGACATGATGGGACACGGACACTGGAGGGGAGGGCGGATCACAATCATACTGAAGTACAGGAAGACAGGGACATGATGGGACATGGACACTGGAGGGGAGGGCGGATCACAATCATACTGAAGTACAGGAAGACTGTGACATGGACACTGGAGGGGAGGGTGGATCACAATCATACTGAAGTACAGGAAGACTGTGACATGGACACTGGAGGGGAGGGTGGATCACAATCATACTGAAGTACAGGAAGACTGTGACATGGACACTGGAGGGGGAGGGTGGGTCACAATCATACTGAAGTACAGGAAGACTGTGACATGGACACTGGAGGGGAGGGTGGGTCACAATCATACTGAAGTACAGGAAGACTGTGACATGGACACTGGAGGGGAGGGTGGGTCACAATCATACTGAAGTACAGGAAGACTGTGACATGGACACTGGAGGGGAGGGTGGGTCACAATCATACTGAAGTACAGGAAGACTGTGACATGGACACTGGAGGGGAGGGTGGGTCACAATCATACTGAAGTACAGGAAGACTGTGACATGGACACTGGAGGGGAGGGTGGGTCACAATCATACTGAAGTACAGGAAGACTGTGACATGGACACTGGAGGGGAGGGTGGGTCACAATCATACTGAAGTACAGGAAGACTGTGACATGGACACTGGAGGCAGAGCTAGATCACAGGCAGATTCTAGAAACTGGCCTCCTGCCTCATGAGGCCCTCATATCAAGGGTTTTGTCACTGGGTCAAACAACTGGAGCACCGGGAGAGGACTGCCCCTACAGAACTGTTAGTGTTCCCCATCTCTCCCTTCTCTGTCGGAATCACAGGGTGCAGAAGCAGGTGATCCCCGCCCCCCGCCCTACCCCCCCCCCCGCCCTGCCCCCAAGTACCTAAGGGAGAGACAGAAAGCTAGTGACTTGACTCAGCCAAACCAGAACGGAGCAGCAGCTCCCGGCTACCCTCCCTCCAAGCCTGCTGCAGGGGCTCTCAGCTCGGAGCTGGGAGGAGATGCAAAAGAGCAGAAGAAAGAGAGAGGAGAGGGGGAGAGAGAGGGAGGGGGAGAGAGGGGAGGAGAGGGGGGAGGGGGAGAGAGGGGAGGAGAGGGGGAGGCAGAGAGGGAGGGGGGAGAGAGGAGGAGGGGGGAGGAGAGGGGAGGAGGGGGGGGGAGAGGGGAGGAGAGGGGGAGGCAGAGAGGGAGGGGGAGAGAGGAGGAGGGGGGAGGAGAGGGGAGGAGGGGGGGAGAGAGGGGAGGAGAGGGGGAGGCAGAGAGGGAGGGGGAGAGAGGAGGAGGGGGGAGGAGAGGGGAGGAGGGGGGGGAGAGAGGGGAGGAGAGGGGGAGAGAGGAGGAGAGGGGGAGGCAGAGAGGGAGGGGGAGAGAGGAGGAGGGGGGAGGCAGAGAGGGAGGGGGAGAGAGGAGGAGGGGGGGAGGCAGAGAGGGAGGGGGAGAGAGGGGAGGAGAGGGGGAGGCAGAGAGGGAGGGGGAGAGAGGGGAGGAGAGGGGGAGGCAGAGAGGGAGGGGGAGAGAGGAGGAGAGGGGGGAGGTAGAGAGGGAGGGGGGAGAGAGGGGAGGAGGGGGGGAGGCAGAGAGGGAGGGGGGAGAGAGGGGAGGAGGGGGGGGAGGCAGAGAGGGAGGGGGGAGAGAGGGGAGGAGAGGGGGAGGTAGAGAGGAGGAGAGGGGGAGGCAGAGAGGGAGGGGGAGAGAGGGGAGGAGAGGGGGGAGGCAGAGAGGGAGGGGGGAGAGAGGGGAGGAGAGGGGGAGGCAGAGAGGGAGGGGGAGAGAGGGGAGGAGAGGGGGAGGCAGAGAGGGAGGGGGAGAGAGGGGAGGAGAGGGGGAGGCAGAGAGGGAGGGGGGAGAGAGGGGAGGAGTGGGGGAGGCAGAGAGGGAGGGGGAGAGAGGGGAGGAGAGGGGGAGGCAGAGAGGGAGGGGGAGAGAGAGGAGGAGAGGGGAGGCAGAGAGGGAGGGGGAGAGAGGAGGAGGGGGGAGGCAGAGAGGGAGGGGGAGAGAGGGGAGGAGAGGGGGAGGCAGAGAGGGAGGGGAGAGAGAGGAGGAGAGGGGGAGGCAGAGAGGGAGGGGGGAGAGAGGGGAGGAGAGGGGGAGGCAGAGAGGGAGGGGGAGAGAGGGGAGGAGTGGGGGAGGCAGAGAGGGAGGGGGAGAGAGGGGAGGAGAGGGGGAGGCAGAGAGGGAGGGGGAGAGAGGGGAGGAGAGGGGGAAGCAGAGAGGGAGGGGGAGAGAGGGGAGGAGAGGGGGAGGTAGAGAGGGAGGGGGAGAGAGGGGAGGAGAGGGGGAGGCAGAGAGGGAGGGGGAGAGAGGGGAGGAGAGGGGGAGGCAGAGAGGGAGAGAGGAGGAGGGGGGAGGTAGAGAGGAGGAGAGGGGGAGGCAGAGAGGGAGGGGGAGAGAGGGGAGGAGTGGGGGAGGCAGAGAGGGAGGGGGAGAGAGAGGAGGAGAGGGGGAGGCAGAGAGGGAGGGGGAGAGAGGGGAGGAGTGGGGGAGGCAGAGAGGGAGGGGGAGAGAGGGGAGGAGAGGGGGAGGCAGAGAGGGAGGGGGGAGAGAGAGGAGGAGAGGGGGAGGCAGAGAGGGAGGGGGAGAGAGGGGAGGAGAGGGGGAGGCAGAGAGGGGAGAGAGGAGGAGGGGGGAGGTAGAGAGGAGGAGAGGGGGAGGCAGAGAGGGAGGGGGAGAGAGGGGAGGAGTGGGGGAGGCAGAGAGGGAGGGGGGAGAGAGGGGAGGAGAGGGGGAGGCAGAGAGGGAGGGGGGAGAGAGGGGAGGAGAGGGGGAGGCAGAGAGGGAGGGGGAGAGAGAGGAGGAGAGGGGGAGGCAGAGAGGGAGGGGGAGAGAGGGGAGGAGTGGGGGAGGCAGAGAGGGAGGGGGAGAGAGAGGAGGAGAGGGGGAAGCAGAGAGGGAGGGGGAGAGAGGGGAGGAGAGGGGGAAGCAGAGAGGGAGGGGGAGAGAGGGGAGGAGAGGGGGAGGCAGAGAGGGAGGGGGAGAGAGGGGAGGAGAGGGGGAGGCAGAGAGGGGAGAGAGGAGGAGGGGGGAGGTAGAGGGGAGGAGAGGGGGAGGCAGAGAGGGAGGGGGAGAGAGGGGAGGAGAGGGGGAGGCAGAGAGGGAGAGAGGAGGAGGGGGGAGGCAGAGAGGGAGAGAGGAGGAGGGGGGGAGGTAGAGAGGAGGAGAGGGGGAAGCAGAGAGGGAGGGGGAGAGAGGGGAGGAGAGGGGGAGGCAGAGAGGGAGGGGGAGAGAGGGGAGGAGAGGGGGAAGCAGAGAGGGAGGGGGAGAGAGGGGAGGAGAGGGGGAGGCAGAGAGGGAGGGGGAGAGAGGGGAGGAGAGGGGGAGGCAGAGAGGGAGAGAGGAGGAGGGGGGAGGTAGAGAGGAGGAGAGGGGGAGGCAGAGAGGGAGGGGGGAGAGAGGGGAGGAGTGGGGGAGGCAGAGAGGGAGGGGGAGAGAGAGGAGGAGAGGGGGAGGCAGAGAGGGAGGGGGAGAGAGGGGAGGAGTGGGGGAGGCAGAGAGGGAGGGGGAGAGAGGGGAGGAGAGGGGGAGGCAGAGAGGGAGGGGGAGAGAGAGGAGGAGAGGGGGAGGCAGAGAGGGAGGGGGAGAGAGGGGAGGAGAGGGGGAGGCAGAGAGGGAGAGAGGAGGAGGGGGGAGGTAGAGAGGAGGAGAGGGGGAGGCAGAGAGGGAGGGGGAGAGAGGGGAGGAGTGGGGGAGGCAGAGAGGGAGGGGGAGAGAGAGGAGGAGAGGGGGAGGCAGAGAGGGAGGGGGAGAGAGGGGAGGAGAGGGGGAGGCAGAGAGGGAGGGGGAGAGAGAGGAGGAGAGGGGGAGGCAGAGAGGGAGGGGGAGAGAGGGGAGGAGTGGGGGAGGCAGAGAGGGAGGGGGAGAGAGGGGAGGAGTGGGGGAGGCAGAGAGGGAGGGGGAGAGAGGGGAGGAGAGGGGGAGGCAGAGAGGGAGGGGGAGAGAGAGGAGGAGAGGGGGAGGCAGAGAGGGAGGGGGAGAGAGGGGAGGAGAGGGGGAGGCAGAGAGGGAGAGAGGAGGAGGGGGGAGGTAGAGAGGAGGAGAGGGGGAGGCAGAGAGGGAGGGGGAGAGAGGGGAGGAGAGGGGGAGGCAGAGAGGGAGAGAGGAGGAGGGGGGAGGTAGAGAGGAGGAGAGGGGGAGGCAGAGAGGGAGGGGGAGAGAGGGGAGGAGAGGGAGAGAGGGAGAGA